CCCAGTGGGACCCGACGCCTCCTCCTGCAGCCCCCGCCTCCACGGAGAGCAGCAGCCGTGGCAGTGGACGTGGCCTGGGGTGGCCGCTCACGGGCTCGGGAGCTGGGCTCGGTCCCTCTCCGAAGCCTCAGTTCCTGCTCCCTCCCCACGCCTGAGTGACCGGAGCTCCCAGGGGACCGGGAGTGCCGGCAGGGTGTGACAAAGCGGCTCTCCTGGGGGGGGGGGGGGGGGCTGTGAGCAGGAGCTGAGGGGGGGGGGTTGGAAATAAGGCGCCCCCAGCTCTAAAGCCGGGAGCAGGACCCTGCCCACTGGGCCCTGCCTCCCCGGGGTCCCAGGCTGGTCCCAGCGCCAAGATCCCTTATTAATTCCAGCTGCCTCTGTTCTCGGCTGTTCTGTCCTCGCCTTTTCCTCTGGAATCGGCCTGGCCTGTGTGGCAGCAGGGAGGGTCCTGACAGCCGAGTGGACAGCGGCGCTTCCCGAAAGGTCAGCCGAGGGCCCGCAGCCCAGCCCTGCGCCCGACCCGAACTCCAGCGCGTCAGCTAATTGCCACACCAGAGAAACGAAAAAATAAATACACCTTAAAATAACCAAGAGTAATTATAGCCCTGCTGTTGACACTAACGATTAATAATTGATCAGGAGTTACACACAATAAATTGTCAATTTATCTCCCCAGGAAGCAGGGCCTCAAGGCACCCTCCCCGGGGCATTGCACAGGAAGACAAACTCTCTTCCCGGGGCAGCCGGGGCGGCCGAGCACATCCGATGGGTTTGCTCTCGGCAACTTCAGCCTGTCTAAAGCGCAACCACAACCAGGACGCCTTCTGGACAGTCTCCTTGGCGTCCTGGGGTCGGATGGAGACAGAGCAGCCTTGCTCGTCCTGGTCCAGCCTGTGCCGCTGGACCGCAGGGCCAGCGGGCAGAGCCGTGGGAGCCCCGCCCGGCATAAAACCTTTATTTTCTCTCTTAGAAACTGAGAGCGAATCAGCACTGCCCTGCCCACCTGGACAGGGCAGCACAGGCGGTGGCCAAAGGACAGGCCTTTGAAGGGGCTGGGGGAAGGGATGGAACCTGGGCATGGGCACCTGGACACGGGCTGGCCAGGTCCTCTCCCTGGCCTCCCAGCGGGAAGCAGCCGGCCGGCCAGCAGAGAGCAAGGTGGTTGTCAGGCTCTGGGGCGGGCGGCGTGTGAAAACGGGGTCTCAGCGAGGGGAACCTGAACCATGGGAGACTTCTCAGAAAAAGCCTTTAAAATATCTGCAGGGATCTGTCGAGTATGTGGAGGTTTGCAGACGCATCAAAGGGCCTTTGCGAATGTACAAATTCAAACTACGTTAATCATCGTATCTACTGAGGTCAGGTGGCTTCTGGGGTGAACGCCGGGGTTCAGCCATTTAAAGTCTTATTTCTAAAAAGCAGTGTTAAAGCCTGGGCAGAGCTGCTTCTGTCCCAGGGTGGGGTCAGAGGGAATGTAGTCTTGGTGTTGGTTCTCGGTTCTCGAGTGCCGAGTGCCTGGAGCGGGAGAAAGAGCCGGATGGAGCATCACTGCACCCCACCCTGTGGGCTGATGACAAGTGTCTGCAAAGGCCCCTCCAAGGGGCAGATAAATCAGGTGACGATGAGTTTTTCAAGCTGCTGTCTATGTCGCCTGAGCTGTGGGAGTCCAGCGCGCATTTATGCTGCGGCGTATAAAAAAAAGGTCAACTTGACTCTTCGCCTCTTTGATAAATATTTCAATGCCACTTTCACTGACCCCAGAAGGCGCCCTGGCTGGCGGACAAGGCCACTCCATCCACCGCTTCCTGCAGAGGCTCCGCCTGCAGGCGGGACGGCGGGAGCGAGACCTCCGTGAGAGCCAGCCCCAGGGACCCCCGGCCCAGCACGTCCCCCCACCCCCGTGGGCCCTGGGGAGGCGGTCTGGCGAGGGGCTGGCCGGCACCCCCAGGTCCCCCGACCTCTCCGCAGACAAAGGTGGCTAAAGTTCTCTGCGAGTTTCAAAGGCAGCTGGCCGCAGCTTTTCAGAAACAATGACTCTTTGATTGGGAACAAATGCTGACATTTTGCGGGTGCCCACCTGAGCCGCCCTCTCGGCAGCCGTGGGGGTCTGCACCAATGCAGGAGCCTTGCTCTCTGGAGACGCCGGCAAGAATAACACCACATCCCACCCCGCCAAGACCTGTCTCCTCCACCCCTCCCGCCCGCCTGCAGCCCGCAGGGGGCAGGAATCGGGGGTCCGCTCTTCTGCGCAAAGACCCCGCCCCCGCCCGATCACCTGCAGGCCTTATGTTCTGAGGGAGCGTTTACAAACGGAATCTTCCAGAAAGAAATTTGGATTGGGAGGCCGGGTGGGGAAGTTATGGAAATCTTTGATAATTTGCTGGCCATATACACATCAAAGCCCTCACCCTGGCCTGGGCTAATCTCCTCAGCTGCTGGGAGCTGACACCCATTGAGACATGCAGGTCTCCCAGACCTGGGCCCTGGGCGGATCGCATGTCCGGTAAAACAATCCTGGCCCGGGGGAGGGAGGCCTCTTCTGAGAGCAGGCTTCGGTTTGCAGCCTGGTGGCTCTGGGAAGCTCAGCCGGGCGCTGGCCTGCCCCAGGGCCCCTCTCCTTCCCTCCGGTTCTTTCCACACTTGCTGGCGGGACAGAGATGGACGGGGAAAGGGGGGCCTCTGCCCCCTCCCTCCAGTGTGCTCAGACTGGTCACTGGGGAGAACCCCCCCACCCCCTGACTCTGGGGCCCCCAGGCCGGCGCCCGAGGAGAGAGGGGCTCGGGAAGACGGGAAGACGCACTTGCTCCAGAAGCTCAGAAAAACCAACCATCTGAGGGGAAGAAACGGAAACCAAAGCCTCCGGGCCAGCCCCTCCCCGGCCCCAGCGCCAGAGCTCGACGCCCCCTGCCAGCCCAGCCCTGCTCCGGGAGTGGCTCCCGTCCGGCTTTCCCTCAAGCACCTAAGATCACTTTCAAATACCCTTTCTAACAAGACCCCAGCAAGAGGCCACTGATTTCCAGGACACAAAAGCCACTGGAGACGGAGCCGTTTGTCAATATCAGGCGGCAGAGTCATTTCCCAGCCTCCGACTCTCCTCCGATCGGAGTTGGCAGATGTTTAGACAAGATTTTATAAATTGTTCAATATCAGCCATAATGAACCCCAACTGACCATTCCAAAGCAGCTGAAAGCACGGAGGACTGCCCCGCTGGGATCCAATAATGCCGCATGCTGCAGCATTATTAATCACGGAATAAAATAGATGAACCTCTTGAAAAATAAGCGTATGATTGATTAAAGGGCAATCTAAGAAGCTATTATTCTTGTTTTATAACCGTAAGTTATATTCACTCAATTTATCTTTGCAGAGGAAATAAATGATTGTTCATTTCTTCTCTGAAATCATATTATATGGGTATCCATATAATTCTACTGAAAATTAAAGTGACAGTTTTGCTGCCTTTATGATACTAATCAAAGAGGGTATGTTACTCGACTACAAATTCTCGGCTTGTCCTATAATTAGATAGTGAGTAACCCCAGAACATGGCAACCACCGAGGCTCTTTAAACTTTCTCTTCCCCGGGGTGAGGCTAAGAGCCACGGAAAAGAAAATAAATCTCTCCTCCCCAGCTTTGCGCCTGGTGTTTAATGTAAGCGATATGAAAAGGGCAATGCCGAGACCGTTCAATAAATCTGAATACTACAAACACACGGAGATCATTCAGGCTCTCAACAGTCACATGCATCGGCCACTGGCTGGGGCTCTTCTTGTCCTCCTGACTGTGGTTCTGCGTCCTGACTGTGGTTCGGAGGACTTGAGGGAAGAAGGATGGATACAAGGTAGACCTTGGCCCAGAGGAGGCCAGATCATTCCATCTTCCCAAGTCTGAGAGATTTGTGCTGACAGTAATCTGTGCGGCCAGGGCGCACACATTTTTGCTTTCTTACATATGTGTCTAAATCACCTAAAACCATATGCATCCCTCCTCTGAGGGCTTGTCTCCCATCTGCCCGTTTTCTATGAGCAAAACAAGGGAGAGATTATTTTACACATTTTCACTTGAAAGCCTGAGGCTGGATCATGAGGGGGGGGTGACACTCTCTGGACTGCCCGCTCCCTCCTGCAGGAAAGATGAGGCCCAGACACCGTGTCCGCGTAGACTAGTCTGTTTTTATTTACAATTTAAGATATAAATTAGTAAAGAATTCTTGTTAAACAACCAACAAAGATTGTATAACCAACCAGTAAATGTTCAAATAAAAACCAGGCAGAATTTATTTACAAAAAGTTTAGATTCTGTTGCAATACAACTTGCATAAATTACTAGAAGCTTTATATCATTATAAAAATAAATATCAAATTTGTTTCCACTCAAGGTCTTCAATCACATACCGTGTCTACTAGTGTACATCGTTTACAAATCAATTGTACACGGAGTGCTAGCACACCTAGAGAATATATATATATATTTATATTTATATATACGTATATACCGTGGCAATGGGGTGATCAAGATATCCTGAGAAAAAAGATTGTTTGCCAAAGTCACACGTACAAGGGAAGCTACACTATGCCACAAATCACAAGGTCCAACACGAGTGTCCCGCAGCTCTGGGGCCCGCGGCAGGCTGTCCCGGGCAGGGCTCTGCTGGGTTTGGGGCCCTGGGGAGAGGGGAGGCCCGCCTGCTGGCTGTTTCCAAAGCAATTGTGACACCTACCTGTGGGCCAAGGAAAAAGCCGAATCATCCTGATCCTGACCGGGCCAGCTCCACGGTCCCCACAGCGGGTCTCCACACAGGCCCCCACCACCGGGGAAGGCTCCCCTGGACCCCCAGTCTCTCAGCCTCGGGCCAGAGCCAGGTAGAATCGGGGCCCATTCTCCGCTGGGCCACCAGCACCCCAACTCCAGGCTCCCCAAATGCCGGGCACTGGCTCTCAGAGAGTCCCAGAGGACAGGACCGGAAGCCTCTCCCTCCCCCACCTCCCGCCGTGCAGAGAGAAGTGGCGCCCTCCCTCACGTGGGGGGCTCCAGCCGAAGAGCTGAGGGGGAGGCAGGCAGGCAGGCAAGCGCGTGCAGGCGGCGCCCAGCTGGCGCCCACTTACTTGAGAGCTGAGCTCCCCTCCTATAGGTAGGGCTGCGTGCCCCCGTCAACCGCAGGGCAGCCCTCACCCGCATCTGTAAGGGGAGGGGCAAGGGTCAGGAAACAGGCCACCCCACCACCACATGCCCGCCCAGCACGCGCACACATCACGGGAGGGTCCTGCCCACCTGCCCACAGGGAAAATGTGCTGGGGTTCCAGGGAGCCTGGGAACACCAGCTGCCAGCCCCTCACCCCCAGTGGAGGCCGGGCAGAGGGAAAGACCGGGAGCCCCCCTGAACCCAGGATCCTGCCGGGTGGCCCAGGGGGCCTGAATGAGTTTCTCTGGGGAGGCGGAACAAAGAGGACGCAGAGGGGTCGGGAGCCCGGCCGTGCTGCAGCGGCGGGAACTCCCAGTGAGATGGAGGCCACTGTCCTGTCCTGCCTTCCTGGGGCTGAGCGGTTCTAGGGGCTCCCTCCCGGGAACCCCGGGCGCAGCTCAGGCTGCCTACCTTTCTTGGGCTCGTAGCCGCCTGCAGGGGGCCGGTAGTGGGACCCCAGGGGGTGCGCACCCGCCTTGCCCGCGTCGCTGGTCGCTTTGGGTGCGGTGTGCAGGGCCTCCCCGGGCGCCGCGTTGTAGCGCAGGAGGCCCTGGGCCGGCAGTGCGGCGTTCAGGTTCCCGTAGTTCGTGTAGCTGCCGTAGAAGGGCGCCGTGTAGTACAGGTGGCGGCCGAGCAGCGGGGATGCGGGGTAGGGCGAGCCGCCAGGCGGGGCCCCGGCCGAAGCGGGTGCGGCGGCCGCGGGCAGCCCCTGAGGCGCACAGGCAGGGCCCAGGCTCGGCTGCTTGAGGTCCGACGTGGCGATCTCGGCCAGAGACCACAGCTTGGGCTTGTTGGCCGGCGGCGCGCCCGGCGACGTCCGGCTGCCCAGCAGCGGCTTCCCGACTCCCCCGGCGCGCGGGGCGGCCTCGGGCGCAGCGCTGAGCAGCGGCGCCTCCACGCCCGTCAGCGGCGACGAGGTCACCGGTTTGGGGGGCGCCAGGTCCCGCTCGGCTTCGTCCTCGTCCTCCTCGTCGTCCTCCAGCTCGTCGTATTTATCCTTGCACTCGGAGCCCGACTCACACAGCGGGTCCCCGGCCCCGCACGGCGGCTTCTCGCCGTCAGACTCCACGGAGCAGGAGTGATCGGTGAGCGAGTCCACGTGCAGGCTGATTCCTGCAGGGGCGCCGCATGGTCGGTGGCACCCAGGCCCTCCCCCTGGGGCCCCTCCCCCGTGCAGCGCGGCCCAGCCCACCCCGGGCCACCGTGTCCAGCCCGGAGGGCGGGCGGGGGACGCACTGGACCGTGGGCCCAGCGCGCGCCCCCTCCCTCCCCGCGCGCACCGCTCGGAGCAGCTCCCGCCTGGGAAGAAAACGCGCGCGCCTCACCTTCGTCCTCGGCAGAGGTCTCGGCCCCTTCCTGCGCCTTGTCTGCGCTCTCCTCCTTGGCCCGCGCCGCGTCGCCCTCCTCCTCGTCCTCGTCCTCGCTTTTGTTCCGCGGGGCCCACGTCATCTTGTTCTCCTTCTTGAGGCGCCGGCGCGCGTTGGCGAACCAGGTGGAGACCTGCGTGAGGGTCATCTTGGTGATGATGGCCAGCATGATCTTCTCGCCCTTGGTGGGGTAGGGGTTCTTGCGGTGCTCCTGCAGCCAGGCCTTGAGCGTGGCCGTGGCGTCCCGCGTGGCGTTCTTGCGGTATGCGGGGTCATTGAGCTGGTAGGGGTAGGCCGCGCTGCCGTAGGGGTGGTAGCCGATGGCGCCCGTCATGCCCGTGGTGTGCGCGTCGTAGGGCGCGCCCTGCAACCGCAACCACAGGAGCGGGGTGAGAGGGGCGGGGGGGGGGAGCGGGGGAGGGGGCGCAGGGCAGGCTGCGGGGCGCGGAGGCGCTGCTGTCGTTTCTCCGGTCATTATTATTATTACTTTACGATTCCCCCCAAAGTCAGATCTTCCCGCAAACGTCGCCGGGCTGCGGGCCGGCACAGGCCCACAGGTAGTTTCCCGAGATCCAAATTTCGCCACCGCCTCCTTCCCCTTCCCCAACAGCGTTTGGCTAAAAAAAGAAGGAAAAAAAAAAGTACCCGCTGCCCCCGCGCCTCAAAGCGCCGCTCCAAAGCTCCGCAAATCCAATTTGCAACTCAGAAGCCCTGCACCGTTTCCAATTCTTCAAATACGCGGTAATTAGCATTTTAATTCAGCCTTTAACGTTTAAATTCGACACTTGAGCAGCCCCAGGCCGAGGCCCCAGCGCCGCGGCGCCGCCGTCCCGGAGTCCCACCGAGCGGCCTTCGCCACCGCCCGGGCCGGGCCCAGCGGCGGACCGCGGCGGCGCGCGCGGGCCGGACCCGGTCGGGGGCGCAGGGGGGTGGGGGGAGCCCCGCGCCGGCACCTTTGCGCAGCGCGGCCCGCGGGGCCGGCGAGAGCCGAGAGCTCGGCGCGCCTCGCGCCATCCCGGGGACCCCCGGCCCGGGGAGGAGCGAAGCGCCCGCGATCGCGTCGGAGGGCCCGGGGCGCCGACCCGCGCTGCGCGCCCGCCCGCCCGGCGGGTCCCCGGCCCGCGACAGACCCCGGCCCGCGGCCGCATCAGCGGCCCGAGGAGGCCGAGACCCGCGGCGCCGAGTGCGGAGCGCGGAGCGCGGGCTCGGGGCGGGCGGCGGCGGCCGCGGGGCTCCCGTCCCGGCCCTCGGAGCCCGCCCGCCCGCCGCCGTCCCGGCCCGCGCGCGCCGTTACCATGTAGGACGGGAAGCCGGCGGCCGCCGCGTCGGCCGAGTACTGCAGCGGGCTGCCGAAGCCGGTGGTCGCCTGCGCCGTGAAGGCCGCCGAGCCGGGGTAGGGGCTGAAGGCCGAGCCCGACGCCGAGCGCGCCAGCTCCTCGCTGCGCGGCGCCGCCAGGGCCGAGGCGCCGTACGCCGGGCACGAGTAGAGCGCCAGCGAGCCGGGCGCCTGGTACAGGTAGCCCTGCGGGTAGGACATGGTGGGCGCGGGGCGCGGGGCCCGCGTCACGCCGAGCAGCGGGCAGGACGCGCGGCGCCCCCCATCCACGCCCGGCCGGGGCGCGGGGCGGCGGCGGGCCGGGGGGACGGCGGCGGCGGGGGCGCGGCGGGGCGGCGGCGGCGGCGCGGAGCCGGTGGGCGCAGCCGCGCGCCAGGCCGGCGGTCGGGCTTTGGGGGCGTCTGGAGCCGGGAGTGCGGAGTTGAGGACCGGGCGCTCGAGTTTCCGAGGGACATTGGAACGCGCAGCTGTCCGTCACGCGTCATCTGCATACCCGGCCCCGCCCCGGCCCGGCCCCGCCCGCTCCCGCCGCCCGGCCGCGGCCAGAGGCGGGGCCCGAGCCGGCGGGGCGGGGCGGGGCGGCGGGCGGGCGGGGGGGCGCGGGGAGGGGGCGCGCAGGGACGTGCCGGCTTTTGTGGCGCCACCGCTCGCGCGCGCCGCGAGCCCGCGGCCCCGCAGCCCGGCCGGGCCGAGCGGCGCGCACCCGGGTCCTGGCGCCCGCTCCGGGCCCGGCGCCGCCCGCGCACGGACGGGCGGGCGGGGACCGGGCCGAGGCCGCGGCGCGCGGGCCGGGCCACGGGGGACGGGAGCCCGCGCGCCCCTGTCCGTCCGCGGCTGCGCGCGGGTGCGGGGGTGGCGCGCGCGGCTCGGGGCCGGGACCCCACGTGCCAGCGGCCGGCTGAGTTCGGACCCGCCCCGGGAGGGCGAGATTTTATTTCGTTGTTAAGTGACTCGTCTGCCTCTCGGACTGGTGCCTCGGAACCCCGGGGAGAGCGCGGTCGCCGGACAGGCGGCGGGTGGCGCTCGGGAAGGGACCGGAAGGCGACGGGTCAGCGGCACGGGTGATCAGGTAACGGGGGCTGCCGCGGGGGCCCCGGACCCCACCCCCGGGCGCCCCGCGGCGGCCGCCGCTCCCCCACCTGGGCACGCGGAGGGGCCGCCGGCCTCTGACGCGTCCCGGACGCCGCCGGCGGGGGGCGCCCGAGGGGCCCTGCGGAGCCCGCTGGCCACGAAAGGCTCGGCGTGGCCGGGAACAGGTGCCCGCGCGAGGGCTCGGCCCCTCCCCGGACCCCGCGGCCAGCGAAGGGAGTTGGCGTCGGGGAAGCGGCCCGGATCTGCGGGCCGGACCCTGCCCTCGCTATCGGACGCCCAGGGCAGCGCGCGCTGGCCCCGCCTCGGGCGTCCCCCGCGCCCGGACCGGGACCACTCTTGGGGTCAATTACTGTCGGGCCCAGGGCTCCGCGCCGGGCGCAGCTGTGGCCTTGGGGTCTCCCCGGGGCCCCACGCCTGGGACGGGACCACTCTCGCCCAGTCGCCCCCTTCCGATGTCGTGGTTTTCGCAGAAAACAGCAGGGCTCCGGGATTTCCATTTCTCAAGACAAGGTCCTGGGGCTCTGGGTTCTCTCCCCCGGGGCTCGCCCTCCCCGCCCGCACTCTCCGCCACCCTCTCAGGCTCCCCCCGGCAGGGCCCGGGACCGTGGCACGCACTGGACTCTGACACCGATCTCCCAAGCTGACCCGGCACGTGGCAGCCGAGCCCGGCCCGCCGCGCTGCGCGGTCCCGCTCGCCTCTGAGGGGCTGGTTCCGAGGGTGCCCCTGCCTGGGTGATCCCCAGCCAACGCACTCCAACGCCGGAGTGGAGATTTTTCCATCCTGCTGCCCGCGCCTAATAAACCCGTCCACCTCGCGCTATTAAGCAGTGGGACCGCGGCACATGCCGCTTTTATTAGTAGTGACTGTAGCAAATTAAAGTGCCCACGCAGAGACAGTAAAACTTAGGCTGGGTATTGTTCCTGGACCGGCAACTCCGTTTCGCTTTCAAGCCCTCTGGTTTCTCAAAATCAAAACTGCTCTTCCTCTTAGATGAAAGTTGGCTTGATGTTTTAGGAAATTAAAGAGGGGAGGAAGAGAGGAAAGGGGGCAAGAGAAGAGAGGAGAGAGGAAGAAGGAGAGGAAAGGGGGAGAGAGCAAGAGAGAAGGAAGGGGAGAGAGAAAGAAGGAAAGGAAAAGGGGAGAGAGAGAGGAAAGGGGGAGAGAGTGAGGAAAGGGAGAAAGCGAGAGGAAAGGGAGAGAGGGGGAGAGAAAGTGAGAGAGGAAAGGGGGAGAGGGGAGAGAGGGAGGGAGAGGGGGAGCAGAGAGAAAGAGAAACGAAGAGGAAGAGAGAGGTGGGAGGAGAAGGAGGGAGAGACTGGGTGGGATTAGCCAGGGGTCCCTGGCTGCTGGCCGCAGATGGCCTGTCCCCAGGTGGCCTGTCCCCGGTGCTGTGTTCAGGTGCTGCCTGGTGGCCAGGCCGCGCGTGTGGAGAGCAGGGCGGGAACCGAGCGGGGCCCGGCAAGGGCGGAGCAAGGGCGCGGGACCCGAGGGGCCGGCCAGGGCCGCGTCTCTGCGGCGCAGCGGCCGGAACGGGGCGAGTGCGGCTCGCGGGGAAGGGGGACAGGCGGCGGTCACCTGGCGCGGTTACCTGGCGGCTGGCCCGGCTCTCGCGGACCCCGTGCACGTTCACGTGCAGCGGACCTTGGGGGCCACGGTGGACTGTGGGCTCCTGTGTCCCAGCAAAGAGCGGAGACGCGGGCGGCGCAGGCCGTGTCCCCACGAACCGAACTGCGAGGCCGCGCGCCGGCGTGCGCGTCGGGGCCCTGGACTCGGCGGGCGGCGTACAGCCCGCGCTGGCCAGTCGGCGGCGCGGCCCAGGTCGTGCGCGGGCGGCGAGGGGGCGCTGTGGGCCGCGCCTGTGGGCCTCGCCCCGCCGTGTCCCTGGCCTGCGCCGCGCGGTGGGTTTCGGGGAGGACAGAAGACAACAGGGGGGCGCTCCGGCTGGCGCCCGCTCGCCGCGGACCGTTTCCCGCACTTTCCACGGGGGCAGGACGAGCGCCGGGGCGGGAGCGCTCAACTCATTGTAATTCCAGGTCAATTGGGGTTAAACACACACACTTCACCTGGGTCCGCTGAAGGAGGAGGCGCCGTGAGCGGCACGAAGGCGCAGTCGATCGGACAAGGTTCCCCGCGTCCCTGCTGGCGGCCTCCTGGCCGCGCGGGACTTCCAGGCGGGAAGACGCAGAAAAGGCTTTAAAAAGTGAGGGAGCGGGCGAAGGAGGGGATCTGAGGCTGCAGTTTGCTCTCCCTGTCTTTTAAAACCCAAATACGCTGTTACGAAGGCGACGAAGCTCAGAGTCAAACGGGCAAATCTTCCCGGCGGATCGCAGCGCCTCTGGTCCTCTGCGATCCCCGCCGTCCGGATTCAGCCCGGAGACCCCAGGACCCCCCGCGCCGACGAGCCCGTCCGGACTCCCGAGCGCCGGGCTCGGCGCCTGCGTCTCCGCCCAGCCCGCCCGCCACTCCCGCGCTCTCGGGGGTCCCGGAGCCCAGGACCCGCCTGTCGCCGGCGTCCAGGGTTTCCCCGCGCAGGACGGCTCGCCCGAGACGCGCTTCCTGAACTTTCTCTGCCGCGCCGCGCGGCTGCCCGGAGTCCGGCCGCTCCGCCTTGTTGCGCGCCCGCTGCTCCAGGTTCCCCGAGGCCTCGCCAGGGAGCGCGGGCGCCGGGAGTGCGTGGATGGGACGAGCTGCGAGACCCCGGCCCAGACCCCCGACCCGACCCTCCCCGCCCACCCCGCCGGGCGCCGACACGCACGCGCACACCCGCTTCCCGAGGAGGCTGTTGCGTGCAAGTGGAAACAGATGCGGAGTTGTCTGCTCGGTTTTAAAGAAAGTATTTCTGCGGGAAAGTGTCTGTGCGGGCTTGGCTCCTCCTGCAGCGCCTCGGAGCCAGGACGAGGCTCAGCGGGCCCTGGTCAGCGAGGCCCTCACCGCGTATCCGCCTGAGCGGGGCGCTTCGGACTCCCGGGCCGTACCTCTCGGCAGCCAGGCCTACTGTTTCTCCTCCGGCCAACTCATACGCCTAGTTCTCCAGCCCCCAAACTCGCTCGGACCCGGGGCGAGGGCGGGGGCTGCAGGCGGGACCCCCTTTCCTCTCGGAAGCCTGGAGGGCGCGCAGGAGATGCCGAGAGTTTCACCGCGCGGAGTCAGCGCCTCGGAGAGACGGAGAGTAAAGCCTGAGCATCGTGCAACCGCGCAGAGCCGGGGGACGTGGCAGCCCGGCGGGCAGCCAGCCGGGCGCCAATGGCCAGTGAGGGCAGTTCTACAGACGGGACACTGGCTGCAGCGCCAGTCCCTGCACGGTCACTCGGCCAGGCCCGGAGCGAGACCAGACGCCCCTCAGGGCTGCGGGGAAATAAGGCGAGGGATGGGAGGGGCAGCCTGCGAAGACGAGACCCGGCGGGGGTGAGTAGGGCACCAGGCTCTTCGGGGATTTGGGCTCTGAGCTCAGCGTCCTCTGAACGTTAGGGACAGTCGGGGCTGCCCCGTGCCAGGGGCATATTCTGAGCGTCAGCACGGGGAGGGGGGGCTGGTGTTTAAACAGGCGTGAGACAGAAGGGGAGGTTTCCGCAGACCTGTAGCAGGCGTCCGGGTGGACAATAATTTTCAGAGGCCGCTTTGGAAGCGAATGTCGTGGAATGTGAGCTTGGTGGCGCTGGCTTCCGGTGCCCAGGGAGCAGTGGAAGGGAAGTGAGGGTGCTCAGAGAACCGCCAAGGGTGATGGTCCCCTTTAGGACGGCTTCTGTTGAGAGACAAAAAGTTCTTAAAAATCGACCTTCTTCTTCCTTACCCCCATGCTGGAGGTGTTGGGGTGCACCTGCATCCCGAGGGACACATGAGTGTCAGGACACAGCCTTCCGGGCGGGATGGCCCATAGCCTGGCTTTTCACCCCTGGGTTGCAGTCGTGGTCCCCCAGACCCCCAGTCCACAGCCCATCCCACAGCTCCCCCGCAGTGCCTGTGCACACTCATGCACACAACACACACACATGCACATGCACACACATGCATACACACATGTGCACGCAGACACAGCAAGCAGCTCTCCTGCTGGCCTGAGCCTGCTGGGAAGGAAGCCCCTCTTTGTCCCACAGTGGACAGACTGAAAGGCCAGAGGGGCGAGGAGGGGACACTCATCTCTGCACATGCTCTCCTGCCAGGGGAGACTCAGCCCTCCAGCTTCCAGAAAGACCCCTGCCAGCC